GTAATATCTTATAATCCTTCGTCGCTTTTTAAAAAGTTTTAAAATCCCTTTCCAGCTTCGAATTTGGAACAAAAATCAAACAATTTTCTATCAAAAAAACGAACAGAATAAGCGAAACTATAACAGATTATTTGGAAATCTCGTCACCTCCATTCCTCTGAAAACTGTAGAATTTGTTATAAAATGCGGTTTTTTAGTTTTGACTTATTTTTTTTGCTTTACTTTCTACTCAAAAACGCTCTATTTTGTAGAGTTTCACTTAAATATACTGACAATCTCGAGGACTTTTACGCGAAAAATTACAAGATAAATTTATAACTATAACACTTTTTTTAGTGTCGAATTCGGGACAAAAACTTTGAAAAACTTTTTGCAACTTTGAATTATGGACAAAACCCTAATCATTATTTGTGGGTCTTTTTCCAAAAATATTTCCCCTAACTGAAAAAGCGAAAGTTTATAATCATGTGTTTGAAAAACTCTTAGAAGCTGGAGTTTCTTCACTTTTAGATCAATATTTCTAAACAACACTGTCTCTAAACAGCAAAGCCGCGTTTTCCAAACGTTTTACTCTAAAATACTGGCAAATAGAATCTTTGATGCAAAAAAATTAAGAGATCGATTTTACAAGAAAACTCGTCGACACTCTATGGCTCAGTTACTTTTTTTAGTTGTTTTAACAAAGTAGTAAAACGCTACTCAGAAAAAATGTTAATAACCCTTTTTTAGATTGAAAAATTCCAGTATCGGGCCTTGTAAAGCTTTAACAGATGAATTCTAACTCATTAACCGATGAGTTATAACTTGTTAGCTTGTTGCCAGAGAGCGGCAACAACTCAACACAGTGTTACCCAGGCCTAGCACAAGGTAGCAAAGAAATTGAACAAATTGAAGCAGTAAACAAGGAGGAACACAATGAAGCGGTTTAAATGTTCTAGAAAGAAAAAGCAGCTACTACGGCAAAACAGGTACAGTTGCGATGCTACAAAAGTTGGGTGAAAGGTGCTGAACATACTAAGAACAGAAGCAAAAAGAAAAACGCTGAGGAAGACAGACAACATGACACAGACGAAAAAGAAAGACGGATAATTTATACACCATGATCACGAGATTATACAGGGATCGAGCGAATACTTGGGGAACTAGCTAATGTTGAAAACAACGAACGAGAGAACGAAAAAAATGAGAAAATCCTGGAAGCAACAATGAAGAAATTAACACGAAGGAAAACAGAGAAATGGTGTTGAAAAACGAAAAACAGCAGGCTCTGATAGAAATACAGTCAAAAAGTTGGGTGATAGTCTATAAAAGAAACTTCAAAAAAGAATTCTAGAGAGAAGAAAAACTGTAGAGATCCAGTTGGAGGAGTCTCCTTCAAAAGCCAGGCGTTTCACAAATTAAAAAAGGAAATAGAAAAGACACTTGTGGCAAATTCAGTATATTGCTAATCAAAGTTTTAAAAGAGCCTTTGACAGATTTTCAGGAATTTTTTTGGGGCACAGAGAGAAGTGGAGAAGGAAAACATAAATCGACGCAAATCGCATGGAAAATAAGACAAACAATCTTTTGAGTTCGGTTTTTCAAATATTTTCAACCAATTTCGCAGTTACGAGCTAAATCCCTCAATCCCGACATAAAATTGAAGATTAAAAAAGTCACTTTTACAATTAACGCGAATGCCCTAACTAGGAATCGCAACATTTTAAAGTTCCTTAGGACCAAAAACTCACGAAAATTTAGAATTAAAATTAATTTCCTGTTTTTAACCCGATATTAGGGTCTAATTACCCGGAAAATTTAAAATGAGTAACTGAGATATGTATTGTATATTGTATACATTAAAATACTAAGAAGACAGAAAAGAATGGTCTCCTAGGCCCAGTGCAGGCCTGGGTAACACTGTGTTGAGTTGCTCTTTTGAGTTGATGCCGCTCTGTGTGTTGGTGATTTATAACTAACTGCGCCGCACCTCGAATTGCGCTTGTGCCCGAATAATCCTCGAAATCAGAACTTTTAAAGAACATTTTTAATTAGTTGAAAAATTTTGTTGGTTTCTATCAACGGTCGGAAATTGAGTAAAAGTCTCATTTTCAAGTGGTTTCCTCCCGTTTTTTTGTTGTGTAATCAATATTTTTAGAAAAACAAAATTAATTGGGTTATTAATTTTAGTATTGACAATGTGCATTAATCACTGCACCTGAGTAGGTCTGGGTAACACTGTGTTGAGTTGCGCTATTGAGTTGTTGCCGCTCTCTGAGTTTAAAGCTTTACGAGTCCCGAGACAGGAATTTTCACATCTAGAAATGGGTTAAAACTTTAGGAAAAACGCGGTTTTTCTGTTTAGAGACAGTGTTGTTTAGAAATATTGACCTAAAAGTGAAGAAACTCCAGTTTCCAAGGGTTTTCCAAATAAATGATGATAATCTTTCGCTTTTTCAGTTCGGGGAAGTATTTTTGGAAAAGACCTAGAAATAATTATTAGGGTTTTGTCCATAATTCAAAGTTAATATTTGAAGTAAAACTAAAAAATAATGCAATTTTTGCGTAGAAAGAATTGCTTAATAGAAATTTTGCTAAAACTCGAATGACCTGAAAATTTAAAGGAACTTTATAAATTCTCAGAGCGATGAGAGCGGCAAATTTTCCAAACATTTTTTTGTAAACTTTTGCTCTCTGGTCGTTTTTTCTAGATAGTCCTAATTACTTTCGGCAAAAAAACTGAATAAAATTATTTAGTTTTTGTGCCAAATTCGAAGCTGAAATGGGTTTTCTAAAGTTTTCTGCAAACCGATGAATGAGGCGAATTTTCTAGCAAAATTAATGTTGTCATTTTTGGCTGAAAACACCCAATTATTGTCAAAAAAGAAGAAAATCATCGGAAAATAATGCCTTTTGCGTTTTCGATTAAAAACTTTTAGTTTTGTGATCGGTTTTGGAGAAAACCTTGATGGTTTTCGGAAACAAACGGTAGGAATTAATTTGCATTTTTGTTCCGAATTTGACACCGAAAAAAGTTTTTCTAAAATTTTTACAAAGCTATAAATTTATCTTGTAATTTTTCGCGTAAAAGTCCTTTCGCGTAAAATCATTTTTGAGTAGAAAGAAAAGCAAAAAAAATTCAGTCAAAACTAAAAAACGACATTTTTTAACAAATTCTACATTCTTCAGAAGAATGGAGGTGACGAAATTTCCAAATCTCATATACTTTCGCTTATTCTGTTAATTTTTTGATAGAAAATTATTTGATTTGTGTTCCAAATATTGCCGTGCGAACATGCACTTTCTACAAAAATGTCAACAATAAGCAAACTGAAATCGGACTGCCAAGTAAAGCATGAATCATCGAAAGGCCGAATAATTAAATGATTAAATAATCATGTTTATTCTATAGTTCGGAGACTTTTTTTCTCGAAAAGGTCAGTGAATGTTCAGTTTGCTACCGAGAGTGGACAAAATCGGTCGATAATAATTTGTGTCGTTTGAAACGTGTACTCAGATGGGAAATATACGTAAACCATCGTGGACCTTATGGCAAGTGCGGTAGTTGTGAAAGTGGAGTGAATTTCTTGAGTATCAATGGGAAGAAAATGGAGGATGGCGCCCCAGCTTGCAGAAAGCTGGTAAGAATGATCTTTAATCTATAAACCTTTTAGCTTGAACTGAGTTTAGTTTTCCGACAAGCATCTGAAGTTTTATGGTTTCTTATATAAATAAGTCTGGCTTTGGACAGATTTCCTGCTGTACTAAACATAGTTTCATCTTTCTGTCCAGGTGGCACAGCTTTCGGTAAGTTTAGCATAATTTTGCCCCTGGTTGCCATGTAGTTTAGTAGTAGATATTTTAGTCCCATATTCATCAACTCACTCGTAGGGTGCATTTGATATCGTTTGAGCTTTTGGTTCTTTCTTAGTAAATTTTTAAACATTGGGAATATCTTGGGCGGCTTTGTACTTTCATTTTCATTCAAGAAAACGGGATGCAAAATCTGTCCGGCAACAGTTTTTTCAAATTCTAAGCAACATTTTCCTAACGATGAGTGAAGTTCGAAATTTTGACGGCATTTAGAGCGCACTCTTCTTAACTGAACGTACAACTCTGAAATTGTAAATTATTTTTATTTATAACTCACCGCGTCTCACTGTGCCGCACTTTTCATTACGCTTATCATTTAACCCAAAGCTTTAGGAGGCCCGGGGCTAGAATTTCAACACCTACAGAAGTCACCACATTTTTTAGGGGCAACATTTTTGCAAATTGGTGACTGCAACGCATACTGCTCCGGTGAATTACTGTGCTGGTGCGTTGGGTTGGCGCAACAAGCCATTTCAGCAACACTGTGCCAACTCCTGAAAATTAACTGAGTTACCCATGCCTAGATTTGCGGTAATCGAATTTCACACTCAGTTTATCGATACAAGCACATTTGTTGGAGGCCAAATTTTGATAGAGCATTTCCAGGGGGAGTTTTCGCAAATAGCTCAAAAGCGACGCAGAAAACCTTTTCCCCTATCATCATTTGGAGGTCATGAGAATACAAACAATATGTAGTTGAAATTGAACAAATCAGTAAATACACAAAGCACTTAGAAGATTACTTCAATGTGTGCATAAGCAGACAACCGCTCTTTCGGCTCTCAAGTAATAATCATTCGGGCATTCGCATTAAGTATCTTATCAATGTGGCTGAAAACAACAGATCAAAGTTAAATGAAAAACTGTGTTTCGGCCTCCATGGTGTCGAAAAAATCCACCTAATCCCGCCAATATGTTCCGTTTTTAATGCTATCATGAGTGGCAAGTAATAAAATCTCTCTGCATATATTTGATCAGATATAGATTTACTTAATCATAATTCGTTTCCAGCAACTTATGAGATATTAAGTAAACAAATGAAAACAATTCAATATTTGCTCGCGTATTTTTATGGTTAATTATTGAGGGTTCTACTCAACCATTTTCTGATGACATGATTTGATAAGGCTTATCGCACGCAAATATTTACCAGAGGTATGTTTTGAAACGCCTTGCGAGTAGACATAGCGCGATTTTGTTAATTAATTAACCAAACAATGATTAATCGTAAAATTGTGGAAATTACTGAACCTTGGTACGAATGATTTGAGGATTTAATTAAACGCTGAAACTCGTCGCGTTTTGCACGGATTTAAACGCATATTTGCATTCAACTTCCGGCAGGATAGAGGAGGAGGATCATTCGGAAGAGATGTTTGCGGACAATCACTGCTCATGGGGTTATCAACAAATCTTATATATTTTCGAAAAGCAAACTACATACAAAACAACCAACTCCTACGGTGTAAACCCAGAACACGTTCTTTTGTGCTAAAATACTGGAGTTTTAAATATAAAAAAATACTGTTACTGGACACAGACCAGATGTGCTGGGGTCCGAAGAATAAAATCCAAAAAATCCTGCACCGTTTGCACAATCCGCTTAAATTTAAAAATGCACGCCTAGAAAACTTCAAAAATTACCTTCAAGCTTTAGCACAGCTCTCCTATAGGAGCATTCGCCAGCCACAAAGTGTGCAGAAACTGGTACAAATCATCACTGACAGACACTTTATACGGTGTGGGATTCAGAGTTCTTTTAATATCAGATCGCAGTATTTTCAGCGATTCTTCCACAGCTTCTCGCACGCCCTGCAGATTCTCCAAGGGCTGGCAAATGTGGCCATCGCTAAACCACAACAGCAGCAACTTTTCCACCTTGGAAGGCGTAACGAAAGCTCGCTTGGCCTCTTGGAACGGATGCCTTGAATTGAACCAGTTAATACCGAGTTAAAGTCCTAAAGGAATTTGGATTTAGTTACCGACAAAGGACTTTTCGGCCTTCAATCGGCGAAGTTTCGGAGGTTCTTTGCAGGATATCAATCAACGCATATCCTGCCTCGCCGTACAGCCGATAAACGTCCTTCTTGCCCGGAATGGTGACTTTCTGGACGTCCTGACTGAGTTTGATTCGCGGCTGTTCGTTCAGTTCTACCATCTTGTAGACGCAGCCCAATGCTGGCTGCTTCTGGCAGGTTACCTTGAATGCAAAATATTGATTATTTTCCCCCTGTTTAGATATCCAAACACTGGATTTGCACTTGAACATCCGCCAAAAAATCACATTTTTGCTTCTAACTTTGAAACACAATAGTAAAAGATTGGATTTGGGGTTTTTAAGAGTCCCAAAATATCCACGTTTTTGCTCCTATATCTTAAAAGGTTTAGATTCCCAATCAAGCGTAAGTGAGGAGAGATTGATATCGAGGAGGGCTATCAAAAAGGTCATTACGGCTAATCCGATATTCTTAACACTTCCGGAGTTACAAAGTTTTCCAAGTTCGAGTTTGGAAAGGGACAAAGCCTTAATACGATCTTTAGTTCGTGCACCAAAACAAAGCCTAACAAATCCTATTTCGAAAGTCTTTATAGACTCTTTTGTAGTAGTGGGTGTGTTTCACAGTTTTTATAGAATTTGCACTCAAACTCATTTTTCCTTATTGTTATCGTAAACGGTTTCCAACGACCTTCTGTTCTTTTCTTGTTTTATGTTGGCTATCTTTCTAGTCCCCTAAGACTGTACACAAGCACTAATATGGGAATTCTTTAAAACCTCTTCCAGACTCTGGCAACTCAACAGCACAAACCCTTGATTGAAAATCTGCAAAAAAACACCTGCCCAAACTTACCAAATGGGTACCGATTCCAAAGGCATCAATACAGTGCAGTTGCTCGTTCAAGCTAAGAATGGTCTCCTCGTTGATGTCGTTTGAAGCCATAATCAGCAGATCGAAGAAATATGAAATGCGGTAGGCCTCGGCTACTAGCCGGAAGTACTCGCGAGCCACACAGGACAGATACGCCAGATCGCCACTGAAAAAAACAACCTGTAAACCGAATTGCTTTAAAGTGAGGGCTCCAAGTTCACCTCACCTGTCCAGCCTTACACCCAGAGCTCTATATCCCAAGTGGTGCAGCGCCAAAGCAGTGGCGCAGAAATTAATAAGGCCACTTTTCTTAACATCGTACGTATCCACTAAAGCCATGAAATTACCTGGCAAAGCGATGGCAAAGGATACGAAAGCTGCCAGCTCCCCATCGTTGATTTCCGATAGTAATACGTTGAATATTGAGACGAGTTTAGTGCGGAAATTGACTGCGAGCTCTAGAAGGTCTTGAGGAGGCCCTCCACCAACAGGCGCTAGTTCCTTGTTCTTGATCTCATTGAAGCCGTTGAATGATGTTATGTAGGAATGGGCGTGAGTTCCCTTAACTGGGATGTTAAACAGCTTGCCAGCCAGAACATTGCTGGTGCCATCAAAACCCCCAATGTATGAGTATTTGGAGGCCGATAGGCCTCCATCTGGTCCTTGGGCTCTTCTCAGCCCGAACTCAAATAGCTTCAGTTTCCCTGCAGCCATGCGATATCTGGCTGCATTAGTGGCCATGAGGCTGGCAAAGTTGACCAGATTCAACAGAGTGGTCTCCAAAAGCTGCGCGACTATTAGAGGGCCTTCCACTCTCAAAAGGGGCATCCTAGGAAAGACCACAGTACCTTCTTTAACCGCATACAGCTGGATGTCTTTGGCCGTCAAACATCTCAGATACTGATAAAACTCATCTTCAACATGCGAGGGCAGGATCTGCTTAATGTACTCAATATCACTCTCCGAGTATTTGAAGTTTTCCACGAACTTGAGGCACTCCTCCAGGCCGGCAAATATCGTGAACTCTCCATTGAAGGGATTTTTGCGGAAGAATAAATCGAACACTGATCGGGCGTCGTGTTTGTCCGCCTTCCAATAAGCGTAGGCCATAGTGATTTGATATAAATCGGTTAATAGGGGCTGGACGATGCCATTTTGCCCCATTTTTCTTTCGGGGCCCTGACTCGACATGGTTCAAGGCACTGAGCGCTCGGTATACGAACAGTTCTTTAAATGCTGCACGGCTTTGATTAATCACGACTGAGCAAACCGCAGAAAGTCACGCACATTTTGCATTTTGCGATGAAGGCAAAAAAGTAAATAAATTTAACCTTCTAACCTTTGATGTTGACCCGGGTTGTCAGCTGAAGGTTGCGTGCGTTGTGGGTTGCCGCTGGTTTGTAGTGCTATTTAATTTTATAATTAATTTAATGCGCGTTTTGTTACAGCTTTTCATGGTTTTTTAATGGCTCGTGTCCAAGGTAATTTTTTAAAATAATTTCCTTGCGCTGTTTTACAGCAAAAATCGCCTAAAAAAGGACAACTATACCGCCAAAAGTGAAGTTGACATGAAAATATGCGACATCTGCTCGCCTTGTTTATTCCATTGTACAGTTCATATTTGTATAACAGAAGGTGGCCATTTTGGTTTCTCTGCTAAAGTCAGTGCCCTTTCTTTCCCTAGGAAATCTTCTCAAGTGAAATGATATAGCCAAAATACAGATAAAAAGGTACCTAATATACTTTCCTACATAGAATGTAAGTTAGATCCAAATCGCCCAACTTCTATGCCATGTTTCGGGATCAGTAGTCTTGAAGGTAATTGCTTAATTTGTCATAAACAGTTGTTTACAGCTCACGGGGCTGTTCGCCCTTCACTGGGCCCCAAAATATAAGGGCTTCGGCCCCATTTCATCTGGGTTCCTTTCGCCTTTGGCTGTTCCCATTGATTTTATCAGAAGATCAATACTGAACTCTCGTTCTGTTCTGCCAGTCTCCATTTTAGATATTCATTCAATGCAATCTCATTTTGTATTCATTTTCACCTGGCTCTGTTGCGTTGGCTCCAACGCAACCTGGTTGAATTCTGGTCAATTTCATCGTGCCTTCAAGGGGCCCCAACATGTTTTCTTACTTTCCTTGATTGTTCTGTGCTTGCAAGTATAGGGTGTGTTCCCACAGTGTTATCTTTGAAAGATTAGAAAAATTAATTTTAGGTAACACCATCAGAACACTCTTCACGTTCTGTTACTTGGAAACTGTGCAACTTTAGCTCGGTGTTTATTGCGATATTCTATCAAAACCTTGATGATCATGATGAGACCTTCATTTCATACATTTGAATTCATTTGAATAGTTTAGTTGTAAACACATCTAGAACAGGCTTCTCCAAGCCTTAAAAAATGTATTCTTTTTGGACTATTTATTAGGTTGATCTTGGCATCGAGCTCTTTTAATTTGAAGTTTCTCGGCCACATCAAGCATGTGAAACGCGTTTGACAGCCACAAAAAGTGAGGAAGTATGGGAATTGAGTTACAGAATTAGTAAGTTTCTAAAACTACGCATAGAGAACTTATGTCTAGTTTTTATAAACATACATCAGCAAGCGAAACCCTGAGTGAAAACTGAAATCAAGGAAAATCTGGAAACACGAAAGGACAATTAAATGTGATTGCCAAAGCCTTTAGGGTAGATGAAAGGAAAATTTCACAAGAATAAATGAAGCTTAAGTAAGAAGTGAATGGTCCAGGAAGCGAGACTGCAGCACATAAAATCACTTAAAGAAGATTTTACCACCCGATGGAATGCTGGCTTTTGGAATGAAACTTTCCTTAGGCTCCTTAAAGGGCTTAACTATATACGGGGTGTCTTGTCGGGGCGTAAAACTAGAATCCCTCAATATTTTCTCTTTCTCTTCTGAGTCTTTAATTTTACAAAGTGCAATTTTTTTCCAGACGTGTGGTGGCTCCCAGCATAATCATGGAACCGACCGGAGGAACAATGTGCCCTGTCTGCACGCTTTATTTGCGGCCAGGTATAACTCTGAAGCATCACTTAACTAGTCACCCCAAGCAAAAAGTGATTGAGGCGTTGGTGCAGTTTTCCACCGGCAATGCTTCCAGGATTGAAGCAACGCAGCCACAGAACAATGGATTACCGACCGGTAGGGAATGGCCTTTTTCGGACAATGCACTGAACTAAATTCCACATTTTCCAGACGTCCCTCAAAACAATCCCAACATGCCACCACATATGAATCAGTTTGCTGTGGGACATCCTTCGAACATGGGCACTGGACATTTCTTTATGTACCAGCAGAGCATGAGCGCAAGCACGCCCCATCAACCCAACGTTTCGCCGATGCCACTCAATCCGTTTGCTCAACAGTATTTGGTTCCTGCTGTATACAATCCGCAAATGATGCCCTACTTTTATCAGCAACAACAGCTGATTATGTCCAGTAATGGGCTGCCTCCACCACCTCTACCTCTTCGAGCTCTGCCTTTGGACTCGGTTAATGTGGAACCCGTAAGTTGGGAATGATTTGCTTTTTCCTCGCGCGCAGTAACTGCAAATTCTCTATTTTGAACGAATCTGGGTCAACTCTTGCTTTTGTCTGAGGTTTAATTTCAAGTTTCTTAAAACAGGTTGGCTCAAAGCAAAGTTATCAAACTGCCCAAGTTGTATCCTGAGATTGAAGTGTTTCCGCTCGCCTATCGGTAGTTTTCTGTAAGGAACTCTTTTGCCAAATATTAGCGCAGGAACCTGCTAGAATGTAGGCAGGTTTATTAGGCGGTTGCTCGAATGAAATATTAGAACAGGATTTTTTTCGTTAAGGTGAATAATGCAGCTGATACCAGAACAACGGCGGCCGAAGCGCAGCCGACGAAGGATAAGGATTTGGAGAAAGGGGAGAGTCATGAAAAGACAAAACTCATCCTAAACGAAGTTTCAATAAACGAGTCAGGTATCGAAACTGGTTCTGAAGCGGAAGTATGCCATCCTAAAGAGCAGGATTGCATGGAGTTTGAAGAAAATCATTTGGAGGAAGAAGAAGAAGGTGAGCACGAAGCTGAGTCACACTTATTAAATTTGTTACAACTTGTATTTTTTGCAGATTGTTCTAGTATTGAGGACGATCACGATCTCACAGACGCAGACTATAAACCCAAGCACGAACCCGATCGAACTGAAAGCGCATATTTATCGCATGAAGACCAGCAAGCGTCCGACGATCAGGAGTATCAGTTCAGTCCACATGAAGCGAACGGCGAGCAGGACTATCACGATGTTACAACTGAGGAAACTGTGGATCCTTTACAATCGCAGTTATCGAGCTTGAACAGGGCCTTTGAGTTTCCGCCATCTTCGCACAAGGCTTGCCAAACGCAAGGTGGAGAAAATTTCTCTCTAAGGTAAAAGCGGTTGTTCGATTCAACACGCTGCTGATGTTTAAAACGTAATCGTTTTTCAGAACGGTGGCTCACAATGGCGAACAGCCTGTTACCGCGGAATCGAAGCCAGAGGAGTTCTTCATCGACCAGAGAAGCAATATGTCCTGCGTTTATACGTCGGATGATCATCATTCTTATGAACAGGTTAGTGTTTTGCAGGGTGAATTTTGTGTAGACAAGCCGTCTGATGCAATTCGTTCTCTTGCAATTTGGCCTTTGATGGCGCGGTAAATACCGACAGCAAACGAAAAAAGCTCAACGCGATGTACAGTCTAAGTCCCCTATAAACGTGACGATGTGGCTTGTGAGAGGTTTGCGAGCTTTTCTTTACATTTATACGCATCTTTAGATCTGGACGCTACATTTGATCTGCCCTGTAAAAACGGACTGGATTAACGGAACACGTGATACGAGTTAGGGTTGCGCCGGACCGACAAACCTACTACAAGGCACTTGAAAATGTTTCTTATCAATAGAATAGAAACGTGTGCGAGCCTACCACAAACCCACTAGACGCGCCAATTTCTTTCATGGCGCACCCAAAAACGGTCAGAAAATGGATCGACGAAGCCGCGCCAATCAACTATAAATTTGACAAACTAGACTTGTGGTTTGCGCGGCTTCCGAGAAGCTTGCGGGCTTTTCTTTACATTTAGGCGCACTTTTCGGTCCGGACGATGGGTTTGGTCTTCCGTCGAAAAACCGACGGGGACATCCCGGGACGAAAACGGGTTGAGGCTAAACATGTCGATCTAGGCTTGCGGTTAGCGCGACTGATAAATTACCAATTGGTAAGCTATTTTATATAATTCATTTTTCTAGTCGGAACCGATCTACACCTCAGCAAACATAATAAATAACACCGAAGGCTTGGAATTCATCACGATGGATGAAATGCGCGACATGCAAGTGACAATAGGCGATTTTTCTCAGAATTCCTCCTCGATTCCCACTAGCGATCACAATGAAACTGACCGTCCACCAAACTCGCCTATACTGGTCACTATCACTGCCCAGCAAGAGGCCAACATGGAAATGTTCGATAGTAAAGAGTACCATTACGTGGAGAACGTGAATATTCAGTCGGATGAAAAAATGCCACCGAGAGGAGAGTTATCTGGTAGCTTATCGCAATTGGTTAACCCGCTTTTGGTAATGTTTGCGTGCTGTTACAGAACAAGAGAGCATGGGAAGTACAAACGACATGGTATGGGGCCACCTTTACCATTATCAGGAGCCAGACAGTGTGGGGAGTTACGAGCACAATTCGTGGGATGGCAATCAGGAGATGGCCGAAATGGTCGAGGATGATTCAGGGAAAGGTAGGCAAATAACTTGTGGCGTAGATCCTGTCTATTCGCTCCGCCTAATCCGGAAAATTTACTCGCGGAAAGCAAGCTCTGTCCCTGTATAGTGGACATATTGGTAGAAGCTCGGAAAATTTATCAAAAATAAGCCTCCATCGCGCAAGAAGGATGCCAGGCACTAATTTAGGGTCTCTTGTAAATGGTTTATATAACTCGTTTTATTGTCTCGTGGAAGAATAAAACCAACATTCTCGTAACACAGTTGAAAACTCGCAAAGCCAAACTCGATCTACATAGTTGATGTATTCAAAAGAGGAAAGAACAGTGCAGATATCTGAAAATATTTCATTTTGTCTGCTTTTTAGATATTTTTGAGAAAATTTCAAATCTGTTTCATCCAGCAAAAATGTCTCGTTAAAAAATTATCGTCTTGAAAAATACGAAAGCCAGGATTGATCTAATTGCAATTATGCAATACAAGCAATTTATAGAACATAGAACGGGACATGAATGTTAAACGTTTTTATTTTTTGTCAATTTTAGGATATTTTTCTAAATTTTTAGGTTTGTTTAATTTCGAAAATATACATCTCGTTCCAACATTATTTCAGAAATGAATATCTGGAAAACTCGTAAAGCCAAGACCGAACTCATTCATGCATTTTGTAGAGTAAAGTTCAATACATAGGTAATTGCAAAAGGCTTTAAATTTCTGGCAACTTAAGACATTTTTTGAGAAATTTGATCCTGAAAAAATGCATTTTGTGCCAATTTTCATGTAGCAGCTATTTTCTAGAAAGCAGGATTCGACCTGATTCTTACATTGTATAGAGGAAAGAACATTACTTATTTAAATACTAATCGTTTTGATTTTCTACCAACTTCAGGATTTATTATTTGAGAAATTTTCAAATGTATTTCATCGAATCCAAAGAATGCATTTCGTTCCAATTTCAGAAAAAAAAAATTTCAGAAATGAATTTAAATTTATCTTAAAAAGAAAGGAAAACATCTGAAATAAAAAGTCCATTTGCTAATGGCTCGCGTACCTTAGCACACTTGCTGTCGATACTGGCTTAATTTAGCATCCACTGAAAGCTGAGAAATTTGTATGATATTCTTCTATTCTCTATTCTCTAGCTAATATCAGTACTGTGGATATAGCGGCACTGAAGCAGGAACCGAAAGAGGCGATTCCCGCCGCGTCTGCTGAGAATTTCAAAATGCCACCTCCAATCGGCTTGGACATCAATAAGAAGAAGGTGAAGAAGTTGGTGATCAAACCCAAACCGAAAAAAGAGGTGCAGGCGAGTTTCGATAATTTATTCACCAGCAGATTGAAGATGGAAGATTCAGAGGAAAGCGCCGCGGATGTGAAACTAGGTACAGAACGTTTTTCTTTGACTGCGGATGCAAAAAGCTCACTCCAATGTTTCTGTTGCAGACAATAAGGAAGACGTCAAGGATGGCGCGACGACGATTCTAATGTGCAAGATCTGTGATCTGAACTTCAAAACCAGAAAAGAACTGGGATTGCACAATAGAGCGTTGCACAACTACCGCAGATTGAAAGTGAACAAATGCGAGGTTTGCAAGGAACATTTCGATTTGGAGCGCGCCTTCAACGATCACCTCCGAATCCACCCGTTGGAGTGCAAAATGTGCGGAAAACTCTTTTACCGAAAATACGGCTTGAAGCTGCACACGTCCAGACATCTGGGAATTAAGCCGTTTAAGTGCGATCTATGCGACAAGGCGTTTTTGGTCAAGCAAAAGCTGGAGGAGCATCGCAACTGCCATACGGGCAATCGTCCCATTAAATGCTCCATGTGCCCATCTACGTTCAAGAGGTATTCGAACTTGATCCAACATCGGAACAAGCATCATTATATGGTAGGTTTATTTGGATCTCTCGCACAACCTTCCGATTTTTATTTGTGGTTTTTTGCAGATTCCTCCAAAAACTCGCGATTATATTTGCTTCTGTGGCAAGCTGTTCCAGACGAAGAAAAAACTGGCTTGGCATCGGGAAATTCACGACTCCAACCCGAAATCGTGCACTGAATGCAGCGAAAAGTTCATTCACAAGGCCAGTCTAACGCGGCATATGAGAAGAGCGCATAATTCTGAGTATTTGCCCGACAATCGAGATCCTTCACAGGTAGGCAGGCAGGTTGTAACATACCAGTTTTCTTGACTGAATTTTTGGATATTGCAGGCGAACACTGAATGTCCAGTGTGCAAAGGCACTTATCTGAAAACCTCGCTAGACGCTCACCTGCGCACCCACACCAATATCAAGCAATTCAGCTGTCCAATTTGCAGCAAAGAGTTTACCACAAAGTGGAACCTGAAGTTGCACAGATACACTCACGAGTCGAGAACGCAAAAACCGTTCAAGTGCGCTCTATGTAGGGGCGCGTTCATACGCGAGAGCGACTTTGTCTCGCACATGAACTCGCACAAGAACGTCCAACCCTACACGTGCAACTACTGCGGTGCGAAATTCATCCGCAAGTACAACTGTCAGCGGCACGTGAAAGAACACGAGAACGCCAAGATGTACAACTGCGAGTTGTGCGGTAAGTCGTTTCATCGTTCCTACTACTTAAAGGATCATATGCGAATACATAGTGGGGATAGGCCGTATTCATGTCACATCTGCGGTAAAACCTCGACGACCAAGTCGAATCATAACAAGCATGTGAATATCCATCATGCAAGGGAGCCAGTAACCACTGAATCCTAAGTTGGAGCGCGAATGCCTTTCAAGCCTTATACGCTAAGTTCCAATCAATAGACAAATTGTGAAATCCTTTCAGGCGTGTTTTGGTTGCGGATTTTACCCCAACGTTTTAGTTTGGTCTTTTTTATTCGTTTTAATATGGTTGACAAGTTTCAAAGGCTACCGAACACGTTGTTCAATCCTTAATTTTGTTGATAATAGTTCTAGATGCTTAAAAGTTGCAAAAGTGCAATTTTTGTGTTATAATCATTTTATAAACCGACCGTTTAACTAATTTTATCGAGAGACTTCAACAATCTACTGGTTTTTATGCAAAATACGAATAAACTCAACGTTTTATGCATGACATATTTATATAGAACCGAAATAGGAAGTTTTCCGAAAGCGTTTTGTATTTTTACAAAGTTGATTGGAACTAAGTGTGAGTCATTTAGTGCAAGATCTCCTATGGTTTAAGTGCGCTTTATTGTTGAATTATTAGTGAAATTTTTCTATTGCAGCAGTAATATACAGGGAGTTTAAAAATGCGCGGCTGTATTAAACGGGGGTGATTTTACGAAGGAAATTTACAAATACTTTTGGGAATACCGATTATGTGGTCAGTGAAGAAAAAGTTCTAAATCTGAGCAGAAAGTTGCAACGGGTAAGGCAATATTTTGTAAGAAATTTGGGACACGAGATTTGATACGGCATGAGGCGCATTTGAGGACCTAAAGGTTCTTAGAAATATAAAAAAGGTTGATAGTCGAGCCTCCTGGGACAAGTTTGTGGGAGGCTCGTTTGGGATTCAGCATCGGATGAATTTAAGCTCGTGGTAAACTCGCCCCGTGCTTTTTTGGCGATCCGGATGAGCCAAATACGGGGCAGAATACCAGCTAGGTGGCTTGCAGCAGGCTCGTTAGTTACAAAGTCTTAGGCGAGCCTCTGGCGCGGCTTGCATTCGGTCCGTTATATTTCAACCTTCACGCGACAGGAACGCACCAGTCTTCCCCGCGCTTCTTTTATCAGGCTCGTCTTATAATGTAATACCGCGAATCCAAAAGTTCATGGTATTGTGCACAGGCTCTTAGGCGTGGCGTACCGGAGGTTTGTCACAATTGTGAAAACCTTACAGTGCGCAGCTTCTTTCTACTCGTGTCGGCTAGGCCTGCGTAACACTGTGTTACGCTATTGAGTTGTTGCCGCTCTCTGAGTTATAACTCATTTGTTAAAGCTTTACAAGACCCGATACTTGAATTTTCACATCTAAAAAAGGGTTATTAACATTTTTTCTGAGTAACGTTTTACTACTTTGTTCAAACAATTTTAAAAAAATCTAGATTTTCCCAGCACCAGAACTAAAGAAAGTCGACGAGTTTTCTTGTAAAATCGATCTCTTCATTTTTTTGCATAACAGATTCAATTTGCCAGTATTTTAAAGTAAAACGTTAGGAAAACGCGGTTCAGTATACCAAAAAGTAAACCGTCCACACTAACGGTGCGAATAGATATGCCTGAGCCAAGACCACGCCAAGCCGAGTCCTAGCCAAACCTGAGCCGAGCCCGTGACGAGTCAATACGGATCTTTTTAACTAACGAGCCTTGATCTCAATTTAAATAACAGTAAGAACAAAGAAACAGTAACTACCAGGGGAACATCGCATGAAGATGGAAAATGGACTGGTCTTGAATGGTTTTCCAAAGAACCTCCCCAACTTCTTTCGGTTATATCAAGCGGCAATTAATGCAATTAATTGCACTCGGAAAAGTATAAGAAGAAGAAGATCAAGCGGCTTTTCCATATTTCCGGCAATTTCCAGCTCTAACTTTTAAAGAAGCTGGAAAAATCGCAACAAACGTGTTTTCTAATGGTTGGCTTGACAGGATAATTCCTCAATTGGAGACAGTTGTTATCAACTTGGTCCGATACGATTTATTTTATTTATCTATACTTTTTATCCTTCCCGAATTTATTCGCTTGAATCTTGAATCCATTTAATAAACCAGACAAACACGAAACACGCTGTCATTTGGAAAAATGCAAAATCGTATTTGTACTTTGATTCTCTGGAAACCGCTGGAGTCGATCGAAATTTTATGGATAGATTCAATCAAACTCTTCGATGGATTGCGCGAATTGCCAGCTTGAATATTTGGAGGGTTTTTATTTGAGCATTTCTTTTAAAAATCGGCACTATTTGCACTTGGCCTGAAGGAGGCAAGGAAAATCAGCCCTTGACTGGATTTCAGTCTATTCACTTCCCGATTACGGTCAAACCAGATTTTTGATTACACAAATACATGACCGACACTAAATAAAATATAATTTAAAAATTTATTAAAAACTTTTGAACAGAAGTTAATCTTAGCTGATGTTCCCGAGAACAAGCGCTCTAAACCGAAAAACTTCAAGCCCGATTATCACATATAAAATATCTGGACACTGAGGGGCTTAATTTGGAACTTTTACTCATTAAACAAACCTCTCTAAATATGGCCGCGTCTTTTTAAACATCCTGTATAATGCGTTAATATGATAATTATGGACATGTTGCGGTTTTTACAATAGAAAAATCTTATCGGGCGTTTGCAATGGTTTCGGAATGGCCATAAGATGCGTTTGATCAAATGCGATGGTTGAATTAAGTTGAATACCGCGACTGGTGCTTCCAGACTAATTAGGATTTCTATTTTTCCAAAAAAATCCCGTTAATTGGCCAATAGTTGATAGTAGTGAATTCCCAAAGAAACAGGTATTCTGTTCCTTTAAACGGCGCTTTACATGTCCATAAGCCCAAAGCCGTTTATTTTTCAAACAATTTTTTTTAGTTCAAAATGTGATTTTTTGCAAAATTCCCATAATCGCCCAACTGCTCTTAACGGTGCAGTTTGTAGTAGTTATTTATATGCGAACTTTATTTCTTGTTTTTTTTCGACAAATTTAAATTGTGTTATGGAAATATAATTTGAATTGTGTTAGAGTTATTTATTATTGTTTAGGATTTTTGGTCGGTTTTCGCATAAAAAACTCAACAGTGTGGTACAAGCACAGATTCTTCTGTGCTTGTACCACACTGTCATCAACAGATGGTACATCTGCTGGTGCCAGATGGTACATCTGTTGATGACTATTTTCAAGTAGAAAACAAATTGTGTTCAGTTTACTAGTACTAGGCTTTTTTTCATAGTGGGATCTTATTAGGCGATATGGAGGTAAAGGAGGCGAAATGGTAGCGAGTCCTTTTGTTTTCGTTTTACCTATTTTGAGTTAGTTAATTATAAGTAACTGAATATCTGTGATAATAACTAACTTGTATTTTATGTGTTCATACTTAATTGTTTCGTTTGCCTGTATTTGAATGAGCTCAGAATGTCTATAAGGGGTGTTTATTTGGAAAGTACCCTTGTATTTTCCGTGTATAAATACGAACGTAAACGATAGTTTTTGCAATTCGGCTGCACTCATTAAGAAAATCATTGGCAATAGTTAAAATTCATGGCTTATTTTCACATAAACCCACTTTTGTTTCGCATAATTCTTAGATAAGCAAATTGTTTGCTCATTGAACCGGTAATTTTTAGATAAACACTCTGTAAGTCGTAAATGGTGAATATCCTAAAGTAATTTCTACTGCCTGTACATTGTAACAGATTATACGACTTGAACTCTTATCTGTACATAGCGGAACAGGTTTTTATAATATGTTATATTGTAGAATGGTTTCTGTACATTTATACCACACGCACAAGCGAAGAAGTGAGGTCTTTGCTCGCCCGTGTACTCTAGAACTAATAACGTATATTCACCGGTTGGTTTAAATATTAATAATTTACGTTTTAGGCCAGTAGGCTGAAAAGGTTTTATCGATTTAATTTAATTTTTAGTTAATTCTGTAAATAGGTGTCAACAGAGTGCAATGTTTTCAAATAAAAATCATTATTACTTCTCTACATTCCCACTGATAGTTTAACATTGTGTGAGTTTAATGTAGAACCTGTAGTACTGCCAAAATATATTTTTAAATTGATTTTTATAGGGTTCAGCAGGTCAGTTGGGTTGAAAACCCTTCGGGTTTCCCACAAAATAAACAAAAAATTGAGTAAAACACCAATTTAATTTCAATTCATTTAAATTTAATCGATGTAAATCTCCTGAAAAACTGAAAGGTTTCATTGTATTTTCAAATTTGACTTCAACAAAAAGCATTCAGTCTTCCAAGAACCGACGCAAACGATCCACATTTGCCTGATATTCGGTTGCAGTGTTAATCAGCAATGCATCCATGTCATTTTTGATCGTTTCCCCATCAAACTTTGCCATCATCTTTATAAAATCCACCGTAGCAGCCTTGGAAATGATCGCGATTTTTAAGCGCTCAATTCATACCAGAAAACTTTTCCTTACCTGAAGTTCTTGCGGTTGTTTGTCGGATAAATAAACGCGAATGCAGTGCATTGTGCCGCTTATGTCCGCACCATCAGCATCCACATTGTAAAGAATCGGACCGATTGAACGCAAAATTTCCCGTTGCAGTTTGTAGTCTTGACTGTAGCGATACGCTGCTCCTTTGTCTTTCAAATAACTGCAATGCGACGCCATTCCCAGAATAATTTTCAACTTAGGCAGCACCTCTCTAAAGAGATTCGAATGAAATAGCCTTAGTGATCCGGGGAGTCTCAGTCACTTACGTTAGAACAGTTCTTCGGATAAAGTCCTTTGATAGTCTGGCCATGGCGTTCAGTAATCGCATGCTGAATTGCAACACCAGCGGATCTTTTTCTTCTTTGAACCGCTGCAACAGCGGGAGAGATGTTTGGTAGACGACTGGCAGCAGCTCGTCGTCCCAGTCCCTCAGGAGCTCCATGCCAGTCTCCAGGATTTTCAAAACCAGCAATTTTCTAGCGCGATCCTTGGACGAAAGGAAATGAAGGCTGCGCTTCAGTATTTGGGCTGTGAGAGTCACGTGCAATGGAGCCGAAGGCCTCTTTTGTTCCTCTGGTGCTGGTTCTGCAACATTTTCCTATTCGTTCCTGTTCCGGATCTTCGCTAAGTCCTTTACCTTCATCCTCGCTTGGTTGCTGCTGCTCGCTTCTCCTCCTTTCCTCGTCTTCCCTATACATTTCTTCGGCAGTTTTTCCTTCAAAGGCTTCGTCCGAGAAGTCGTCGCATCTTTCAATTCCCGTGACTTTGAACGGTTCTTGATCCAGTTCCTTTTCTTTGCGCGATTTTACAACTGGGTGCTGGATCTCGACTGTGAACCACCTGCGGATACTGTCGATGAACATTTTGAACACTCTTAAGTACGCAGTTGAATGCTTTTCTTTGTATCGATCGCATGATTCCAGCAAGACCTTCAACGTAAAAATGCTTCAAATTTCGCAGGTTTTTTTTAAATTTGTCTTTCTTGTTACCTCATCTACAATGCCCTTCATGGGCAGAAAAGCGTCAGAGCCGCAATGCTTCAGCACAACGGAAAGCACATTCAAAGCTCCGTTCTTGTCCTGGGCTTTATTCAGTCTCATTTGCACATGATAAGATAAGAAATCAAAGTTCTCATTCACTAAATCTGTGATGTCTTTGTATCCACATGAAATAGTTAGAGTTTGAATGGTCATCAGTCCGGAGGTTCTTATTAGAGGGTGGCCACTTCCTAATAACCCCAGGATTAGCCCAGTTAGAGCTCGATAATAAGAGAGTATAGATACCGGCTTTTTCCAACACCAGATACAAAGTTTTCAGTAAAAGCTTCTGGAAATCGTGCTTTAAAAGGTGGCTGATTCGTTCGATGCCATCAGTGATCAGATGTATGATCAGAACATTCTCTTGGATCTGTTCTACTGATTGTTCTGAGGAGTCCAAGGCTTCACTCAGATCATTTAGGGGTTCATCTGTGTAGATTTTGAGAATGTTTTTGATTATGGGCATATGAGCGGAATAGTCTGCTTCTTCCAATCCTGGAAATGCCTATAAATCATTGCATAATTCGAGGACAAAAAGAATGAAAATATCTTGATAAATTACTAAAAAATGAGGTGGTTTAGCAGGGTTTCACGGCTCAAAATGTCTCAAATTCCACAAGAACTTATCAAGGAACAGTCGAATGAAATATTTCAGCAATTGGCATCCCAAGAAGCAAGCACAATCTTATGAGTTTGGAAGTTACGGTTCTGTAGAAAACTGTCCTATTTCCTACCTGAAAGATGCAAATTCAGCAAATACAAAGCTTCTTTTTTCCTGGCAACATCATACATATAAGTCTCAAGCAACGAGTCGTAGACCAGCTCAAAACAGCCGTTTTTCGTCAGTTCTTTGCACAACAAAACCAGGCTGTTTTCAACAGTTTTGGCTTGGAAATGCGTGAAGTTTACGAACGAGGGCTGTGCGCCTCCTTCTGGAGCGAGGTCTGGAAATTTAATTTTATTAGTTAGTTTGGAAGGTTTACCATCCAGGAACCTTTAAGGGTGTATTCTTCAAACAGTCTGATATGGGATTTTTCGATTTCGGCCACATGAAGAAGGCCGTGCAAGAGGTTCCGCAGCATATTTGGAGCCAGGAGCACGTCGCCCAAGTTGTGCGTGCCAAGCAGCTGAATGTACCCCATCAGCAGGTTGATTGCGGCCGTTTTCTTGCCCTCATCTAAATCAATCGTTCGACTAGGTAAAGCCCAGCTTTGCACTTACCGCCTCTTACCGACACTGTTGAACTTCCTCGGTAAGCTGCTGATGGCCACATATAAACCCTCTTTGAGATTGTCGATTAGATTGAAGTTGCAATTTGCCAGTTCTTGCGACAATTCGACAATTACTACTTTGGCTTTGCTTGCCACTTCTGGGTCCGAATCTTGCGATAAGATTATTAGGTATTCGATCAAAGTGCAGACTGACTTGGGGATGGTTCTAAAATCACGTGGGATTAAAGGTTTTAAAAGTTTTTAAAACTTTAGAAAAAGTTACACTCTGCACAGTTGAACGACACTCGAAGCCATTTTGAGCAGCTCGTTCCGAACCTTGGGATGTTCATGATAAGTGAGCTTTCCCATCTTCTTCAGAGCCTCATTAAGCTTCCCATCGGAAGCCTGAAACCACTTGCGGGTCCTAGATGTTTTTCCAACATATTGGTCGATATCGTCTTTGCTTTTCAGCATTTTCCTTAGCGGTACGTAGGCCGAAGAAGCGCACATGTTTAGGTCTAGATCAATTTCGCAGTCTGTCGGGTTGTAGTTTTGCATCACCAGATTGATTATTCGGCCAAATGCTTGGATTGTGTGCTAGATTTTGCATAGTTTCAACTAGAGGATTTGAATGATGAAGAAATATCTGTTACCATGAGTAGGGCATGGCCGATTTTCGCATCTGCGACCGCAATTTCGGCAAACATGCTCGATAAGCCGGGTAGGAAGAACATAAATATGTCGGCAACTTTGCTGCATAGCACTTTGTCGTCGAAATCCTCCTTTTTGGTTACTCGCGCTAGAGTCATTATGCATGTTATAGCGGTGGACCTGAAAAGTCAAGTTCAAGTTTTCCTCAACGTACACAGTATTAAGCGTTTAAACCTGATATTCCTGGCACCTTCATTCTTGGCTAATTCACTGCAAACGTAAGTGATCTGTGAGAATTTCGGGATGTGTTCCTTTACATACAGTTGATCAACGCTTGCAAAGGAAACACTGTTTAAGAGCGCTATCATGCATTCCAATAGCGCAAGTTTGTACTCTTCAGTGATATCACTCACTATAACATGGATTTATCGTAAAATTCAACGCAGCTTTTAGAATTAGGATGGATAAATGAGAAGCAAAGCTAAGTTTGCATGAGTTACAAAGATTTTTCGCAAATGAAGACCTGGCTAAGAAATTAGCCATTGACGGAAAAGAAGAATGCTGCAACCCTACAAGAACTAAATAAATTACCTTATGGAAAAATAAGAAGACCAGAATATTACGGATGGTTTTATGCAAAAGAAAAATGCAACCTTAATAGAGCGGGAAAATCGAAAGAAATTTTATTGATGCCTTTAACAGTTCGGCTATTGGAAGAAGCACACGCTACGAAAATATTGCAGAAAACCAAATGGAAAATCCAACGCGAAGATGGTTAAAGAGTAATTCTTCTATCCATTAACGTTTCTAGATGTTCGAACCTGGGGAAAAAGGGACCAAATGACGAGGATGTTTGAAAAATCCTGCCGCCTTTGAAACAATGCCCTAGAGGGAAAAGAAGCAACCAACTGAATCTACTAGAATGTAATTTGACTTAGTAAATGTAAATCCCATTTGTAAAATCCTACTTTACAGGAAAACTGTCCTCTCGACTTCCGTATCAAGTTTTCGAATTTGGAAGATGCCCTACATTTATGCACTGAATATTGCTTCAAAAAGCCACTTAAAATCCGCTGCTTTTACGCTCGATAGGTAAAAACACGAACATTTCGCCAACTGACGTTGGAAAGTGTTTGTTCAAGTAGTTTTTTTTTGTTACTTTGTTAACCTGTTAACTTGTTTACCTACTTCCAGGAAAGGAAGACTTGGACCTTTAAAGACAGATACAAGACAGAAGACAAAGTAACATGAACCTTCAGAAGAAGTTAACCCAGTACTTAAATGTAAATCCTGAAAGAAGCAAAAAACATGTTGAAAACGAAAAACATGAGAAGAATATAGACTACTACCGGAAAACGTACTTCTCAACGCCTTGTTTAAGCAAATGAACCTGAACAAACATTCTTCAAGTGTCCTTAATGATTTCTACTCAACGACACAGAGTTCCTCATTTTCTTTGCCTTGACTAGGAACATTTGGACTCTAGAACCTTAAGACTAGTAAAACTGTCCTGGCCTTTGCCAGCAGCATCAGCACCTAAGTAGAAGCTCACCTGCATGTGTCCCATAATCATACAACTCCAGCAACAGGAACGTGTAGAAGTTGAAAAACATGTTAATTTCCTCTATGGTATATTTCTCGAAAATTAGCTTTAAAGCTCCAACTAGCTGCTCCTTCTGCCTGCGAGTAAGATTGCAGTTACCCCGAATGAATCCCCCATTATTGCTACACAACTGGGGACTTATTTACCTTGAACCGATCGTGGAAATGTTTTGGATGCATGAATAGAAACAAGGTATCAACAATTTTTGGGCACCTCGAACCAACGAAGCGGGCGATCTTTGAATGGTTTTATGCAGTTCTTTCATCGCATGCTCATCGCAAGGGTTTTTGCATATTTTGTTGCACAATAGCAGAAAGGCTTCGAACTCTCTGAAACTAGTTGCTTGCATTCTAACTAGATGAATTCACATCACAAACATAAACAGAATTCTAAACGAGGTTATGTAATTTTATTTACAGATCACAGAGGTTACTCTGTGATCTGTGGTTTTAGTAATTTCATTCTAGCTTCCCACTGTTATGAATATTTATATTTAGTTATATTGTTAAATATTGCGTGGTTAATGACTTATTTTACTGTCAGTTTGATTAAAAATGACTAGATATAGTAAACGGTCCAAGGGCTGCGGAAATAATCAGTGTTTTGGCAACTCGAGTGAACTCCAATTAGTGTGTTGAGGGTACAGGTAAGTTCTCTTGTATTTATTTACTTAAAAGCATCTAGGGATAAACTAGCTTTTGCCCTTTGAAAGGAGGTTTAAGTCAAAAGCTGTCCTGGAACACAATTTACGCCTCATTCTAGAACGCAGCTTGTTTGCTTTAAGCGCCCAGATAGGTGCAACTGACATGTCACTGCAATCCCAACATGTTTTTCATTCCGAGACTCTCTTAAAAGTATGCAAGTTTATTCATAAATCTGCATTAATTGAATAAAAGCTGAAAAGTCTGGAACGCATCAGCTGTTCTGAGGTTTGTTTACATTGAAGTCAATTCTTGTGTTCGGCAATAGAGGGCCGCATAGTGAGTCAAATTCAACAAGAGAAACAGCATCTGTTCCCCCAGTACGGGTGCGAACGAGATGGAAATACGTGTTTTATATTGCATTATTATTTATTAATAAGTGCTAAATGTTTTTAATGTAAAATGCCCGATTTTTTTACAATTAAAAAAAATGAAAACCAAACTTTTTGTTAGATGAAATCTGGCCGAAAGTTGTCGTGTGTGAAAGGAAAATTATCATTGTAAACTCCATTAAAATATTTAATAATTATCGAGTTGGAGCCCTTCTGGACGTCGTTAAGAAAAAAGTAAGTTACGTTGTAACTGATAAAATCTCGTCTCATAAAAAGTTTTTATGACCGAAATCCAGAAAATTGCAAACTAGATAGTTTTCAAGCAAATAAAAACAATAAAAAAAACTTCGGTGCCTAAATAATACAATTTGCAGTCAGCAATTTTTCAGTATTTGCCAAGAGACTTGAAAAGTACAAACATTTGAATTTGGCGCGCAAAAACTGTCAGTCCTTGACTATGCGGTCCAGATTACCAATCAATATGAGAATTTCTTGCGTCAAAAAAAAGTTTTTAGTCAATTTTTGAGCGCGAGTGAGTGTTACGGATGGAATGTGCATTCGATTATCCTTCTGTATTTTTTTAAATCCGATATTTAAATTTTTTCGGCGCAAAACATCTGAAAAAGTACAAACATTTGAATTTGGCGCGCAAAAACTGTCAGTTCTTGACTGTGCGGTCCAGATTACGAATCAATATGAGAATTTCTTGCGTCGAAAAAAAGTTTATGTTTCACCTATACATTATTGGCTCATAATACCTTAGAGATGAAACATATAATAATATCCATAACGACCGCAGGGCATTGTTAGCGGGCATTATAGTATAACGCCCGCTTATAATGCCCGCTCATAATGCCCGCTCTTAATGCCCGCTAAGTAAATTTTTATAAAATTGTCATTCTCTCGCGTTGACATTTTTCAAGTTTAAACCACAAAAAACAACTGAATAAAAACAAATACCCGTGAACTAAACTTTATCTCCAAAATAAAAATTACAATTTTCAAACGTCCCTGAAAATAAAGCTGAACCGACAACAGAATGGTCCGAGCTTCTAGGAGTGATCTTCTGTGTCTCGCACATGTTTGATAACGAACATTCTCCCCTTAGTTCCTGATGTTGATGATATTCTATTGAAGAATTCCCTGCTACATGTTCCCGTGAAGATACTGAACTCGCAATAATTTCAGCAACCTTGTTTTTTGAAGAGGTACTTTCTTCTATATATCCCTCTGCTACCGTCGAACTTTTCCACTTTCCATGTCTTTTTAGAGTTTC